CCGCAGCGGGCTTCGACTGCGCCACTCGCACCCCGCCTGGACCGCGGTGCACGTCAGCACGACCGAGTGCGTCAGCACGCAACCACGAGAGGCGCTGGGCCCTCTGGGAGCCGTAGTGCGTTGTGCGCAGGCGTTGAAGGCACACGATGGCGATATAGGTTCTTTTTTTTTTTTTTTTTTTTTAGGCGCAAGGGACGTTCGGTAGCGAAGTCGAAAAACCCCGAGTCCCGTCGGGCACTGCGGGGGAAAAGCGGGGAAAGGCGAGGCACCGTACCGAAGAGGCAACGTCTGCTGGAAATCTTCTGCGGGAAGGGGGAGGGGCACGGGGTTCTCTACCCGCAACGTCGAAGAATGCCTCCCGCCCCCCGCGCAGAGAGTTCTGGGAATTGTAGTTCAGCTGTAGAGAGCGCGTCGCAGAGCACCTTCTCCCGGCAGTGTCGCCATTTTGTCTGCCTGTGTTGTGTGGCAATGGCTCAGCAACTCTACCTCTTCCCTGTGACTGCGGGTTTCTTCAGCAATTCTGAGGGCACACAGCACCGGGTCTCCCGCTCTCAGGAGGAGTTGCTCCAAAGTCAAGTCTCCTAGCACCCCTGGAACCACGTAAACCGACTCTGGTCCAGGTTCTGAAGCAAAAGCCAAACTAGTCTCTTGCGGTGTCCTTAGTCTTCACCATCTTAGACGGAGCTGAAATGGGGCGGGCAGGCCAATGAGAAACCGTTTCTCTTGCTTGGCGGTGGTGGAGCACACTTCTAATCCTAGCGCTCGGGAGGCAGAGGCAGACCACCTTCAGGACAGCCAGGGCTACACAAAGAATAGGGTTGTCTCCAAAAGAAAGTTCCCTTACCTTTGGGTAGAGAGACTAGATATTCCTCCTGTAGAATCTGTGCTGTGTGTGAAGGAATGTGCCAAGAATAACTTTAAAATGTTATCTCTTCTGTACCATTCCCTGTGCCTTGTAGTGCGGTACTGGGAATTGATCCCAGAGCCTTCAAATGTGCCAGCAAGGGCTCTACCACTGAGCTGTACTCCAGGCCTATTACCTATTTAATTTATGTATTAACGATTTTGTGGGCCGGGCGGTGGTGGCGCACGCCTTTAATCCCAGCACTCGGGAGGCAGAGGCAGGTGGATCTCTGTGAGTTGAAGACCAGCCTGGTCTACAAGAGCTAGTTCCAGGACAGCCTCCAAAGCCACAGAGAAACCCTGTCTCAAAAACAACGTTATGTGTATCCATGTTTGTCTGTTCAGGGTATGTGCAGTTCCTGTGGGGGTCAGAGGCATTGAGGGCTTGTGAACCAGCTGAGGTAGGTGCTGGAACCGAACTTTGTTCCTCTGCATGAACACTACAAAGTCTTACTGAGCCATCTAGATATCCAGCCTACCCCCATTCATTTCTTTTGGTTTTTCGAGACAGGGTTTCTCTGTGTAGCTTTGGAGCC